AAAAATTAACTAGACCTAATATATACCCTCTATACTAACCTAGATAACTATAGAGTATCTAATAACTTTTAGAATAGTTAGATAGATCTAGAATAGCTCTAGAGGAGTAGGCTACCTTAATAATAAAACTATATAGTAGTTAGAAACTAGAAGTATATAATAAGAACTATTACTATACTACTATTTACTACTTAATACCTAATCTAAACTTATTATCTTTAGTATCTTAGACCTTATAAACCTTCCCTATTTAACTAGAATTATCTCTAAATAAGTTAGCTATATAAACGTTTACTAGCTCTTTATTATTAGTATCTTTCTACTATATTTATTCTAGAGGAGCTTGTCTATTTATATAAGAGATATATATTAGAGTAATAGTATAGGTAAGACCTATAGCCTTCTTATTATACTTAGCTAATAGCTCTATCTACTAGGCTAGTCTTGTCTATATAATAGAACGCTTAAGGTAGGTATTTAAAATTATTACTTAAGGTAATAACATAAAGATTCCTACGCTAAACTAGTTATATAGTATATTCTATCTCTTTCTATATTTAAGGCACCTACTGTATAATATCTATTTCTTAGGAAAATCTTATTTTAATATAATAGTTATAGGCTACCTAGATATTAGGTTAGTAAGTTACCCTCTATAGATAGCTAAGAATAATTACTCCTTAGCTAATATTATAAAACCCTAACCTCTCTTAAAGCGCTTAGCTTTACTTTATATTAACTTTTTAAGTCTCTTATATTCTATATAGAGAGAGGATATAATCTATTAATACTATATTTTATTAACTAGGGTAACTACTTTATTAGACTATATAGTAAAGAATAGGTTTCTAAAATTAGCTATATCTAGCGTTAAGAGTCTACTACTATTATTTAAATTTAATAAGGTCTAGGTTAGAGCTATCTAAGTGTTTTACTATCTAATTATACAGTCTAGCTTATCCTCTAATTTAGATCTAGTAGTAAATAGAATAGAGGATCCCTAGCTATTACCCTTAATAAATAACAGCTAACTCTTATTAAACTGTAACTGCTATATAGAAAGAACTACAACCTAGTCCTTAATTAATTTAACTATACTAACTGTAATAGCTCTAGTAATTATACTAGTAACTATAGTTATACTAGCGCTAATAAATCTTTTAGAGAAATTCTAGTATTAAATCTATTTATTACTTAATAAGGTAATATCCCTATTAGCTATAGTAACCTTCTAGCTACTAACTACTATCTGTATAAAAGCAGCGTTTAATTATTCTATTAACTCCTTAGTCCTCTTATATAAATTAGTGTTACAGCTCTTCTTAGCCTACTTAGTACTACGTACACTATTATTATTAGTATTTCTTTAGTCTGTAGCCTCTTCTCTGCTTTTAGTAGTAACGCTATCTAGGGTATTATATATAGTAGTAACTGCCTTAACTAGTTAACGTTAATTAATTTACTAGTAGATCTACTCTAATACATCTAGTAGACATTGTGTAATAAATATCTAGGAACCTTTATCTCCTTTTAGTACTACCTAGTACCTAGTAGACTTACCCTCTAAATACTTAGATATATAGTTAATAAGATTAACCCTTTCTTCTTAACCTATAATATCTAAAGAATGTTTCTCTATAGCTACCCTAAGGATAGATATAGATATTTTAATAACAGAGTTATTATAATAGAGATATACACCCTTGTAATTCCTAGACTACTATTTTACTCTAGGTTCTAAGCTTATAGCGTAATACTAATATATATCTTATAGCTAAGCATATTACGTTAGGTTACGTAGATATAAAGTTTATTTTTTATTTAGTATAAACTCTGTAGCATTTTATTTAATATAGTAGGAGGAAATAAGATAGCTTTATTCTAAGTGTATAATAATAAAACTATTACACTATATCTATAATATTAATATATATAACAATTACTTCTACTTTTATAGTAGATATATTTATATATAGCTAGTAGAAGGAAACACTAAGATAAGAGTTTTATAAGTAGTAATATAGTAGCTGCACTACTATAATAGTAGTAGAAAAGGTTATATATAATACATATTTAAACAGCTAGTATCTCTTAATTTATTAGTACTATATATCTTTATAAAAATATATTAAATATTTATATCTATTCTTTAATTAAGGTAGATATCTAATATAAAATTATTATCTATGTCTTTTACTAATATATAGTATTACTAGATAAAGTCCTAGCCTACTTTACTAACCTCTATTAAGTATAGACAACTCCTAGGAAATAAAAGGATATATAAGAAGCTATTATAAGCCTACTAGTATATATTCTATAAACCTTAAAGAAAATATACGTAGAGTTTAAGCTTCTACTAATATCTATTAAGGCTATTCTAGAACTTAGAGTCTATAAAGACTCTATTTAATATGCTAGCTACTCTCTTATCCTTAGAGGGGACAGTGTAGAAAGAAATATAAAGATATATATCTATAGTTTATACAGCGTAAACGTAGATAGTACCTAAAAACCTTATACTACTATTATAAGCTAGTATTTCTTTACTTTAGTTCTAAAAGGTAGTAATACTACCTTATACTTTAAAGTACACCTAGTATCCTAGGTAGAAGATAATGCAGTAGAGCTACTACGTAGTAATAGTATAAGTCTATCCCCTAGTAATAAGTAAGATAAAACCTAGACAGTAGCACTAGGCTTACTAGAGATAACTAATATAGACTTAGAGCTAAACTCTATACTAGAGTAACTTAAAGTATAGTTTTAAGGCGCAGTATACCTTACTAAGTTATATTAGGTAACTAAATACGCTGTTATCCTAGAAACCCTAGCTATCTAGATAAATCTATAGCTAGAACGTACTAAGTTTTAGTATACTATATAAGGGATGCAATAGAGTTAGATGCTAGAATATATAGCTACTCTATATCTAACCTAAGAACTAAAAGTATACTATCTTTATACTAGTGTTAAGAGTATAGTTTAAATATAGTAAAACACTGTAATTAAGATAATACGCTTTACTAGGATCTAGGTAATATAAGAATATAAAAGGAATATACTACTCTACCTACTTAAGCTATACTAGAACTGTAACCTCTAACATTCTCTCTATCTATAGAAGATCTTTATATTCTTCCTCTATATACTTAATATAGACTTTAAACGCCTACCTACCTTTTCTCTTATTAACTACTAAGTAAAGGCCTAGGATTTACTTATAGCCTATATTAATAATATAGATAAATATCTAGTAGTTAAATATCTCTATAATTGCTACGTCCTTTCTACTATAGAATAACTTTACTATAGATTCTAGCTAGCTCTACTAGAATAGACGTCTAGGTTAGATAATTTTAAGCTCTGCCTTATTACACTATTAGCCTTCCTAGTAGTTAGTCCTAAAGGTAACTAGTTCTGTAAGGTATATTACTATGTAATAGACCTATCTACACTAAAGAAGTTTATAAGGTTTATAGGTATATAGAAGCTTTAGGACAATATTATCCCTTAGACTAAGGCTTACCTTAGAGTCTAGCTAGAGAGTGTCTAATTAGATATAAAATTAGATAGTTTAAACTTAGCTAACCTTTCTAGTATATCTTAGGCAGAAGTAGAGTAACTCTTTACTAAATAAGTGCACAGTATAAGAGAAGAGCTAGATAATAAGTACTATAACTATACTATTATAGACTAGTTTAGCGTATAGGTAATAAATAACCTCTTTATAGTATACTCTACCCCTATATAATAGATTATTTCTATAGTATAGTTTATTAGTAAGTTCTAGTATAGTAATACGTTAGATACCTTTGTAAATTAAAATAGAGATGTAGTTACCTATTATAATATAACTATAACCCTAGATAAGTATATTAATACTATATAGAAGGAGTATAAGCTAATATCTATACTAATATATAGACTATACTTTATAGAATAAAGGGCCTTACTCCTAATAATACTATTTAAACGCCTTATTAAGTATAAACCTAAGAGTAATAACCT